CTCCCTACTGGATATTAAATTAAAAAAATTATATATATATATATATATATTATTTATTTTGATTGAAAATCCAAATTTCAAGTCAACGTTTTGGTGGGGTCTGTGGGTTTTTGGAAAGTGGCATTCAGTTCTACACTGGTGACCTACTGGTCACCGAGATTTACGTTTCGGAGGCGAATATTTGAATCAAAGGTCCGAGTGAAAAATAAATATGGGAAGTGAAAAATAAATATGGGGAAGTGAAAAATAGATATGGGAAGTGAAAAATAAATATGGGGAAGTGAAAAATAAATATGGAGATGTGAAAAATAAATATGGGGATGTGAAAAATAAATATGGGGAAGTGAAAATCATCAAAAATATCAGACACCGTGATGGGGTCCTTGTTGTCGCCCACAAAATCTGCAGCCACACTGTCGAGCTTGTACGATGAGCGTTTAAACATGTCCTTGAATACCTTCATTAAATCCAGGTTGATGATACCGGGCATCTTGAGGTACTGGATATCTACTACTCCAGCACCGGCGGATTGAGCGTGTTGATGAGCGCTCTGCGGTTTTTCTCATTCTTGAACCGCAGCCTGGCCATACTCACCTTGGAGGGGGAGTAGTAAAGGGTCGTATTGACTACGTGCTCCAGCGTGTGGACATTGGCCGGGTTGGCTTTGGCCTTGTCGATGAGGGGCATCCATTTGTCGGCGCTCTTTGAAAAGGTCTTGGATGTCTCTAGCTTGGCGCGGAAACTGGAGACATCGGGTTTCGCGGCCTGGATGCCCACGTACAGTTCGGGAAACATGTTGCACACGTTGACAACGTGGATAACGTTGGAGCGATCGATGCTGTACATGAGCACCTTGTCAAGGTCGGCGAGGCGCTTGGCTGGAATGATGTGCCAGGCGTGTATGAAAAGGACCATTGTGGGTAAATAGTGTTTATTGTATCCGGGTATGTGGGTGTGAGAGTGACTGTTTAAAGTACACCAACAGGGTATATATACAGAATTTCGGTATTTTGAGTCGTGGAAATATCGAAAATCGAACAAAAAATACATTTAGATGTACTTAAAAGTATCTCATTATCAACATGTGTTTTGAAAAAAGCAGCACCGACGATTTGGTCGATAATCTTCCGCCCGTAATACCGATGCGACAGCCACGGATGGTGACAAGCAGTTGCAGCGTTGCGTCGCGCAGATTGTCAACGTGATTAAAAAAAAAACTCGAAAACCAATTTTCTCATCATAATCAAAATGCCAGATTCTATACAAAACCTCCATTTCATTCCCAGGGATGTGCTGCTGCCTCTGTGGCGTGACACACCCGAGTTTCTCGACGGTGCAACAGTCCGCCCCTACGTCAAAACAACCAACGAGGATCCGACATCGGTAGTCAGTGAAGCGCCCGACAAGGTGCTCGCCCTTCACATCTCAAATTCAAGTGTCGTCTACGACGAAAGGTGATCGCTGCCTCCAAGTTTGTGCTCGAGTCAACATCGTACACCGACGCTTTTTACATCAACGACAAGGCGACGACCTTAAAGCTTAAAAACGGGGTCGAGCATATCGTTACAAGTAGTGGCACCGGAACCATTGATTTCGCACAAACTCTTGCCCGAGATGTGACTGTTGAAACAGCAAAATACAAAAACGCTCCCCTGGGTCTGTTTCTCACGTGCTCGATGCGTATTCGCAATGATCCAACGCGATACATCGGGACCACGAAAAAGGGGGGTGCATTTTTTTCTAATAGCGACAAGTCGGCTGGCTACGTGCGCTACCATGTGTACATTGAAGTGATCAACCTCAGTGATGAAGTCATGGTCAATCTAGTCAACAACAATCCGCACTTTCAGCTACAATGTTGCCGTGGTACTATACCGGACAGTTCGGCCTGTGCAATACAGAACGTGACATACGACAAGGTGGCGTGTATGCCTCACATGAGCAAGTACTGCACCGACACCGGCTTCGAGGGCTGCAAGCGGTGGGCGCGTGCGAACGCAACGGAAACGCGCAGGATTGTAAAAGACTGGTGTGCCAAGCCGACAAACAAGTCGAAGATGGTCTGTGCGTGCTATGACCAGGTCAGAATTGACAAGTTTCTGGCCGATACGCGCAGGGATTTTCCAAATACAAATCCTTCGGAAAACATGTACATGTGCCGCAGTGACGAGTGCGACAAGAGCGGACAGAGCATCGTGGCACTCGCGGGCCGCAAGTGTGCTGATACCATTATTCAATCGTGTACGATGAACATTGACGACGGAGCGGAAATTGGTAGAAACGTTGACCAGTTCGCTGTTTTGAGTCATTAGACTACTTTTGTGTACTTGTGCATAGCAAGGTCCGATCCGATAGTTTTATTTTATTTTATTTGAAATCAAATAATGCAATTTGGGACATTATCACACGTTCACCAACTATACAACTAAATTTAGACAAATCGTCGATGTACTTTCAAGACGGGACTCACCAATATGACCAAAACCTACTCAGGGAAAAATACAATCCAACAACAACCAAAAAACCCTAGAACGTGGTTTTTAAACAGTAAATTCACATAATCGTTACAATCAGCGATTGATAATTGGTCGAGACTTAAAATTGGCATTGGTTAAATGCACACGTGGTTTCATTTATTCTTCGCGAACATATTCTGGGCCTGAAAACGGACGTTGAATCGATAGCGAGATCTGATCAGATATAAAAATGAATATATTTGAAAGCAATTCATGCTATACATCTTACATTTTCGAGTATAAAATTGGCTCACATTATCCGCCTCACTTCATTATTTCCAATATCACCTATGGTATACGTCTCCAGTGGAAAGGCTGCCGCGTATTATGGTGTCAAGCCGGTTACCCTTCTACGCTGGGCCGAGGACGGCCGAGTCAAGTATCTACACAACGGCGCTCAAAATTTGTCGTTCTGGATTGACGACATCGACAAACCTGTTGATGGCGGCAAAAGCTTTGTTCAGCGAGACGTTGTCAATTGCGTCCGCGTGTCTGGTGGGGGACAGCGAGACGATCTCGAACGTCAGCGGAGGCGTCTCGTTGAAAAACTTACCGAAGCCACCCGTGTCATCTCTGATGTCGGTTCGTCACTCTCTTTCAAAAGGAGATGTTTACAACAGCTTCTCTAATCAATCTGTCTGGGACAAGTATGCCTGGTTGTCTGTGCCCACCGCGACAGAGTTGCTCGCCTCGCTTATACCTTATTTGAAGAGATCTACTCAGCTCACGGAACAGAAATCATAGTTGACCAAGACGGTAGTCCATCTCTTACCCAAAAGCTGGCCGATGACTTGTTGGCCATCACCCACAGCTTTTCATCCAGAATGTACAGTCAACGCCGTCGGCGAGTGGAGCCCAATGTTGGAAGCGAACAAGACCGCATTAAAATCGAAGACTGATCCAAACTAGGCAGTTGTTGTTAAAACCGTGGTGCATCGGATCTACCCCACCGTTGAACAGGGCAAGTTCTTCTTCCGACTCAACAAGCAGACCCAGCTCGTGTACAATCGGGAAATTGATATACTCAACCGACACTCCAGTACGACCCGTAAGAACCACATGGTCAGAATCCGCCGCAAGCTGCAATGGGCCGGGCGACTACTTAAAAATCTCCGCACGCGACGCCGTAAGAGATGGCGCCACTGCCCAAAAAAGCTCGCGCTACGCCGTCGTCTCAAGAAACTGATGAACCAGTATCGCTGGTATCGCGACAGGTTTTATGCTTGTAATGTGATGGAGTCGTTTTACCGGACCAACAACACAAATGCAGGGCCTGCTCTTAACAGGTACTGTCGGACAACTGGACCTCAGCACGACACTCCTCAATTGTGGATTAAACCTCGGCTATCTCATCGCGACTATTTTGGGGTCCCTTCAACTGTGTCCAGTGGAATCCGTGACAACATGCATCGCCGCCTGAAATTGCATTTGAAGACCGAGAAGACGAAGAGGTCGTACAAATTCAGCTTCAAACCAAAGACTTTAAGGAGCAATATCTTCTTCGAAGTGAACGTGCGTGAAGTGGGCAGCTTTATATCTGGAGTTGGCCCCATCCGCACACGTAAAGGCCGGAACCCGACTTATGTTGATACGTCTGTGTTTTCGAGTAATCTATGCGTGCTGTATGACCGTGGATCGAAAATCTGACTTGCGATATACACTAAGACTGTCGCTGTGCACAGTATTCCGGATCGATCTGGGATGATAAGTTTCGACGCAGGCGAACGCACATTGCTTTCGGGGTATGACTGGACGGCTGTTGCGACGGTTCTTTATGGTAGCCGAAGTGAGGTCGAAGAACACCTGAAACCACTGAAGGACCGGGCTGATGGACTCCGTGATGTAGGTCGAAAACTTATCAAGGCTGGTAGCTACCGTCTAGGGACTAAGAAGGTTACGTAGGCAAACCAACTGGAAGGATTACTAAAGAGACGAAAGGCTCATGCCCACTACACCGTGGCTAAGGATATTGTCTCCAACTATTCAACAGTGGTTTGCCCTCGTTTGGCGCTTGCGTCGTTCCAGGAATCCGATCTCGCGAAGCGTATGCGTACCAATATGCTCCTTTGGTCGGGCTAAGAATTCATGGTGAGGCTTGACCAGAAGGCAAAGGAATACTCGTGTCAATTGTTGATCCCATCGTGGAAGCCTTACACTAGCGCTACGTGCTTCTCGTGTCGAAAGCTGAACAAAATTAAGAGTCAAGTGCGACTCTTCTTTTGTACACACTGAGGCATTGTATGCGACACTGATGTGAACGGTAGTATCAATAACGGTGTCATGTTTATGGTGTAGGATTTGGGATTTGGGATAGAGATAATATTATTTATTTCAAAGGAGTTAAATTACA